GAGAGCCGCTGCCGTGCTGCTCCCTCTCGAGCTTCTGAGCAGGTCCCTTGAGAGTCTCCACGTGCCTGGCAATGGGCGTCCTCAGTTCCCTGTTGCCTTAACCTTCTTCACTCTCTGTGTGATGGAAACAGATCTACATGGACCATCTCTTGTTGCTCTCCTGCGTGACATCCTGGGGACTATTGTGGTCACACTGATGATCCTTGAAGCTGGACTGTACCTTTGGATGAGACGTGGGAAGAAGAAGTTGGAGTCTGGGAAAGGCAGGTTGCACTTTCCTCCCTGTACCCAGACACCACCTTCCCCTATTGGACTCTGGGCTTCTTTTCTCCTGCATTTTGCTGCTCAGGGAATGTCCCTGCAGGAGGCTGGCAGGTGTGGTCATGGCCATGGGGGTCATGGAGGGGGGAGGGGACAGGCTTCCAGGCTGAGACTCAACCTCCATCTGTGTGTGACTCAGGGGCAGGATCACAGGAGGAGCCCAGGGACCCGGATGGTGGCATCCACTATGCAGATCAGACCCAGCAGGGGTCTGGAGACCGCAGGGACAAGGTGAGGCGGGAGGGGGAGGCAGTTCTCCCAAGTCCCTCTGTGCCTGGGTGTGTGCCTGTTGATCCCAGTCACCTGCAAGTTCTGTCCTTGATTGCTCTGTACCCTTTCCCATAATGCAGTATCAACGAAGAAAATTCTTCTGGGATCCCGTGAAGTGCTGGGCGCTGTGGGAGGTCATGTCAGCAGCTCTGGGTCTGTGTGAGTCTCTTTGGTTGTCTGTGCCCCTTATGCTACCCTCCGTCTGCACTGCAGGGTAGGGGAGAACCACATCTAGAAGAGGAGAACTCTCTCTCTGCTGTCTACAGTGAGGTCCGCAGGCCAGGCCAGGCCACGAGGAAGATGTAATTATAAGAAGCAGGAGACTCCGGCCCCAGGGACCCCTGTCTCCTGAGCATGACGCCCACAGCTCTGGTCCTGCCTCTTCCCCCTCGGACGGCTCTGAGCTGGACTCGATGGGTCCAGCAGTTCTTTCTGTGCTAAATCCTTGTGCACAAGCTCCCTGTGAGACACACACAGTGGTAGATCAGGGAAACTGAGTAAATAAATTGGTCCCAACCTGTTACAGGAACACTCAGCCTCTGTTACGTGACAACACTTTACGGCCCCCACTGTCCCCTCATCTGTACGACATCAAACTGCTTTTCAGACCCTCAGCCTCTGGGACAAACCGTGGAGAATCACAACATCCCCCCGGGCCCGTCTTGAGCACCCCCAGCCGTCAGTCCTGCGCTGAGAGCTCTTTACAGACAACGTGAATTCGTCATCGTCCCTGCTTGCTGAGGGCGGGCTCTGCGACCCGCACTGTTCAGGCATTCTGCTCGCTGCTAACTCACTGGGTCCTGGTGGACTCTCTGTGCGGTGGGATCCTTGTGCCCACTTTACAGATCAGTAGAAGGAGCCAGAAAGGCTGA